TTGCTGAAGGGGCTCGGCTGGCTGCAGACCACCAGCCCTGACCAAGCCCAGCTCCTGGCCAGCATTGAATTTACTGGGCTGCAGAGAGGCCCTTTGCCTGCTGAGCCCTTGACTTTGTTCAGCACTGAGGTACCAGCACTACTATTCAAACTTTTTGTGTATGATTTCTATATACCCTGACAAGCAACTCCACTGCCGTACTGTGAGGGAAACCAATTTTTCCGATTTACTTCAGAGGAATGTTTTTCTTTATTGTTGTGTGATGGAATGTGTGGTTGAGGCAAAATAAGAAAACTGACTAGCCTGAAAAAAGCAGAAATGTGCCGGAAAAAATAACAACAGAATTATCAAAGCCCTTGGGAGAGAAGATCTCTCTTCCCTTCTCTCACCAAAAATGGCTGATTCCATCTCAATTAAGCAAATCATGCATTTCATCAGCAGATTAGCCAGGTGATGAATAAAAGGTTGTGTGTTTTTAGCAGGGGAGGCTGGAAAAGCTGAATACATAGTTAACCTTAAAGTTCACATTTTAAGCCGTTTAAGTGCATATAAAGAGGCTGCTGGGCATGCAGGCTAGTATCCTGCTTTCCCATAGTAAATGGCTCCTGTTCAGTGTGGTAAACACCTTGCTGTTAAGGAGAGTAGACTGACAAATGTTATCTTTTAATGCGGTTCCTGTTGCTGCTGATGGTGCGTCTGTGTGACAGCTCTGAAAATGTAGAGCTACCCTAGTTATCTTCAGATTGGCCTCGCTCAGACACAGATAACAATCTGCCTGCATCACTCAGGGCTCAGCATGGGCTAATTTCTCCTGTTTATGCATGTTTCTCATTAGCTAGAAAAGTCTACCGTCACCTACGCAGCTTCTTGGCATGAAAAACCTACCATTGAGCAAGTCCATGTTGTGGCGTGGGATAAGTGGGCAGCTCTGCCCCGGGCCCTGGCCTCCAGCTCACAAGTGCCGTTCTGCTGTTGTCTTCTGCTGGATCTTGTCTGCCTCCACAGGCAGCGCAAGGCCAAAGGCCACCTCTGCGTGGGCTGTTATAAGGATGCAGGAGACGTTATCATTGTCTGGTCTACCATTTGTGGTTTGATTGGAGATAGGGACTGAATGATTTCTAGTCCCCTAAGGATGTCTAACCTAGACATCTTCCCAAGGTCAGTCTGCCTGCCAAGGATGAGTTCTCCATTATCCCCATTGTTATTAATCCTGAAAATTGAGTTAGTGTCAAGGAGTTTCCACTCAGGAGACTACTCTGCAGTAGGAGTCCAGAGTCTTGGTCTGGCAAGAATAGTGACTGAGGGCTCGGGCGGTATTGTAAAACATGGTATGAGGACATATTTTATAACCTGTTGTGCAAGTTCATCATTTCTCTTCTAAATGCAGACGTGCACAAGGAAAGCAGAAAGGCTCACCAAGTCCTGCTCATTTGAGCCAAGTTCCACATTGCTTTGACATACTGCTTATTTTAAAACATAAAATGCTTTTAAAACGTAAGACACTTGTGCAGCTTCTTTTTCAAGATGTAACAGTGCCAGGCTTCTGTGTGGTTTACAAGTTGTTTTGGAAACATCCTGGTTACTTATAGAAGGTGGGGGTTTTTTTCTTTTTTTTTTTTTTTTTAAACTCTCATCCTGAAGAGTTATCTCCCCTCTCTCTATGCAAACATTTTCATTTTTACTTTAGGCTTTAAACTGATAGGATTGTAGGGAAAGCGTGTTGGAAAGAAGCCCTCAGGGTCTTGTTAACTTTGTTAATCCTCAATTTGTTGTTTTTTTTTTTCCTTATTTTTCACTCCCAAGAGGCATAATGCAAAATCTGTGTGTAATCAGCTCTAGAGACTGCTGTTCTAGGATAATATTGTCTTACCCTACTCTGCTTAGTACCTTGAACATAACCCAAAAAGCTTACAAGTTTTAAAACAGCTACGCTAAATCAGTACCTATAATACCAGTACTCTTGTCTCAGTAGCTAACTGGAACAAATTATAATTTTTTTGCCCTTGGACAGTGTTTGCTATCTGAAGATCTTATAGAGCTTAATAAACAAGAGTTTAGACTTGTAAATGAGGTAATTTAAGGTACTGCTCAAAGTAAAATGAGGGCAGTAAGGACCTCATACTTTGACCTTTGAGTAGGACCCTCAAAGTCAGTGAGAGTGCAATCTATCCCACTCAGAAGAGTGGGACTCAGAAGAACTTCGTCCACCAGGTTGGCAACTAGGTGGGATCACAGCTCTCAGAAGCAGAAATATAATTTTTTCCTTTTATTGTCCACCCTATTGTCCTCTGCCATTTCAGAGTGGGTTAGTCCCTTTCATCACTCACCTTTGGAAAGCGTGGTCTTTCTTCCTGGAAGTCTCTCATGCAGAATGTGGTTCTGAGTACTGGATGGTTTCCCTTAAAATGCTCAGAAAACTTCCTTTTTCTATATGACTAACCTCAACTTTGTGGTATTTCATGATGTATCTCAGGGCCAGAGAAATAAACTTTTCCCAAGGTAAACAGAAAAAAATTGTTCTGAATAAAATACATCTGTATGATAACACATATTCTTCACATAAGGAATGATTCTCAAGATGATCTATATGACCTGGAAATTGTTGCTAAGAACTAAACCCCCAGAATTTCAAATCATAGCATCATTTCCTGTTACTTGAGGCACAGGGGAGACCCTTTATGTATCTGAAAGCTTCAATTACTTCACAAAGTTTTACCCAAGAAATTTGCCTTCTGAGAGCAACTTGCAAGTATCTATATTCAGTTTGTCTTGTCAGCCATAGCCCTGAGCCCTGATGGTTTGAATCATCATGCTGGGCAGCACAAATCTTGTACTGCCAGTGTAATGTATGGGTGGATGCTGAATTACCTGTGAAAATGCGACTTCTCCAGCAATGATCCCACAGTGCTCAACGCTTACAGCAGGGACCACGCCAGCTGAATTCGTTACCCTACTCCCTTTAGTGTCCTCGGGGGCCCTCTCAGTCCTCGACATTTCAGAAAGGCACGTTTCCCCCTTCATCCCTGCTGTGTGAGAGCAAGAAACAGACCCTGCGTGAATACATCTAAAACTCCAGCTAAACCTTCTGTTGCCATCTGGTCCTGGGAAGAAGTCCTGGATCTCCCCAGCCTCTGGCTGAAGAAACACTGCAAACCAGGTATGGAGTTTCCACAGACTTCAAGGTGTTTATTTCAGCACTGAAAAGGAGATGCAGGGTGAGGATCTGACAAGGAAGGCAAGTGCCTGGAAACCAGTCAGTCATTTGCCAGATTGTGCTCTGCTCTTAACCCCTGAAATGGCTGGCACTGCCCACGGGCCTTCGGGGACTGTTCACATGGAGCTGTGAGGAGCTGTGATGCTTTTCTTTTAGCTGGGTTAGCTGTGCTTGAAGTACTCTTGAAAGCCCTCCTCTCAACCCCTGCTGAAACACTAATCGCAATAAGGAGGAAACAGAGCAGCAAAATGACTGTAACAAATTTCTGCTCAAGCATCCTGCAGCAGAGGCAACAAGATCAAGCAGCAGCTGGATTTTATGCTGAACTAAAGGCATAAAATCTAAGTGGACACCAAGGTGCTGCCCATCTGCTTGGGTGAATGTGGATGACCCAAAGTGCAGTGGAGTAGCCAAGACCCCTGTGGCTGTTAGATGTTAGGACGGTCCTTTTTCTTAGCACCAGGATATGTACATGGTGCACAGCGAAACACTCAACTCTACCAAGAGTCCCCTCCACTCAACCCTAGCCTGAGAAGACTGCAAAAGCCTGTGTTTTGCGTCTTCTTTAACAGCATTAGTTTCCTTCTGCACAATATAATTGTATTTTGTGAAAAACATAGTTTAAAAATAGATTTCTCTTACACTGTAGAACCAATCTCATTAACACTTTATCACTTTTGTAATTCATTAGTTTCAATTTCCCAGGAACTGCCACCAGCAGTGATTTTTTTCATCATGGCCAGAAAGATTAAACTCTGTAAGAAACCATAAAATTGAAATCCTGTGAGAAAGCATGAGTTGGATGCACAAGACAAGACTCTGGCAGAAGTCGAAACCAGGGAAGTTTCTGCCCTTCCTTGATGAGGGGAAAAAATGGAAACAACTGACAGTTTCATGAAAGAATCACTAGGAAAGACAAGGCAGGCAAAACAGACGTGGGTTACCCAAGACAGGAAACTACAGTTTAGACATCAGATGGAAGAAGCAGAGGCATCAAATTACACAAGAAAGAAAAACGCCTTGAGAAGAGAAAACAGATAAACAGCGACAGTGTTCTACAAGAACACAGCACTTGAAGGCCATACAGTACCATCCAGAAGGTCATCACGAAGTAATACAAGAGACAATGTTAGGGACAGATACTAGGACCAAACCGATCTGTTGCAGAAAGACACCGTAAACACCCTAAAGACTTCTACGAATGTAATCTAAATTTCCCTCTACCCAGCTAAAGCTCTTTCTGTTAATACCACCACCAGCCTAGTGAATGAATAAGGGCCAGAAGGAGATTTGCATGTGCTCCAGGAACTAAAGCAATAACCTGAAGGAATCACATCACGCTCTCACACATCTCTGTAAAGCACAGCAGGTACAACAAGTGCAGCGTATCACGACAAACACAACAGCCTCAGCACTGGAGCTACGGTAATCACTGCAGTCCTCTATTACATACCCAGGGCTCATTCCCCAGTGACAGGAAACTGCTAACCTGGCCCGTGCAACAGCAAGGAATGTCAGTGTCTGGAAGTAGGAAAGCCGGTAACCTCTGCCTTGGAGTGATCCTGTCTTCATAGTGAGTAAAGGGTTGAGGGTAGCAAAACAGCAGCAAAGCTGGCCAGTGATGCTTGCTGTGAAGGTCAGTGCAAGGAAGGTCATGGCAACTGTCGTATCCAGCCAGAGACTTATATCAAAGGAGGGAAACACCAATGAGAGGTCTACTTAGGAGACTGTGGAGTTATAATCTTAAATCTTAAAACAGAAATTGAAAAGTGGAATCACTCCCATGATGACAAATCTTACAGTTTGCCAGAATCTGGAAAGGTAAGAGCATCTCAGCACATCCAAGCAGGACTTCTGAGGATGGTTGTGTTCTCAGTAGTCCTCCGTCAACACAAATGCTGCAGAATAAGGAATTCATAGCTTTGAATTCAGATGTCTCTGAAGGGTTACACAGATATCAAAACCAGTGAATAGGACTAACAGTGCCATTAGAGAAGAAAAAGCTGAAGTAATTGGGTCCCGTGAGCCTATGTAAGCAGTAAGAAGACAGAAATTGGGGTGGTTTGTCCATGTGACCAGAACAACAGGACAAGCAAACACAATTCTGTGGGGAAAATCAAAGAGGAAAGGAAGGCAGAATGCTCAGGGACAGTGTGACTCAAAAACATCAGTATCTGGATGGAGAAATGATGGGGGGATCTAAAGAGTAAAGGAAACATGAAGACAGATTGCAGTCAGTGCCTAAAGATGACACTCTTCAGAGCATGTTGGTGTAGTACAGGAAAAGATGAGACAGTCATAAATATTTATAGCAGTTCATACCCTGGCCATGTCCTGTTCACTTATTGAGTTGCACAAAGGACACAAAACAGAGTATGGTCAACAGTGAACCACTAATTCGTGTTACTAAAGCTTCCATCACCCGTAAAATTTTTTTCAGTTAATTCTGATGTCTTTGTTTCAGACTGCTCAAAATTGCCCATTGATCTACACATTTCTCCTTTTATTTCCTGAAAGTAACTTTTTTTCTGTGGCCTTCTAAATATCAGGTAAAATTCAGTATGCTGTGGCAATATGTTTGGCTCACAGAACCCAGTCTATTTTTGCTGGTGCTTTTGATAATATTCTTGACATCCTGCCACTGTTCTGGTGAGATCTGGAGATTTCCTTGCTCTTCAGTTGCCCTGGGTGTAGTTTTATGAGTCCAAGAAAGGTGAATTTTGTCTCTGCATTTTTAAGCAGGACTACAGCAGTCTGGCAGAAAAGTATCTGCTTGTAGCTTTTGCAAAAGTCATGAGTTCCTATAAATGGCAACATCATGATCCCTCCCTGAGCAACAGTGCTCATGTCAGTGAAATGTCCCCAGCTACCCACAACGCATCCACGGCCAGAGAAAAGCCCCTCTTCCTGACTGTCTGCTCAAAGCAGGATGCCTTGAGGGCAGTAATGGCACTAACCGAGAGATAAGTTGTCCCCAACAGTCAGCAGAGCATTTTTAGCTGTACAAACTTGCTATTTTCTCCATCTTTCCAAGAATCAGAAACATGCAGCAGGACCCACTTAATGGTCTCCACAAGCGAATGACAACCATTCCCACAAGAGATGTTCCCATACTACCACCCAACAGCAAAGCCGTCAGGAAGCACTACTTATCGGTGGTGCCTGCTGGCGGTCAGCAGGTGTCTAGGTAAAAACAGGTTAAGGAAAAAGTGTCACAGTTTCTCCCGAGGAAGACCTTCCCCACAGGAGATTGCGAGGCTTTCCCCACGGGTGCTGTGCTGGCAGTGGGTCCAAGGGGCAGCGGTAGCCCTGCGCAGGCTGCTTGACACTGTCACTGTTCAGAATAACTTTTGGGCAGAGTGTTGGCCCTGGTGGTGCTGGTACCTTGAGTAATGATCCATCTAGAGCAGCATTTTTCTATGCTTACTTGTTTGCAGGCCACCCAAAAACGTCCCAGCAGATCTGTGGGTCTCTGTACAATGAATTCCAGCCTGCTGACAAATACGCTTGATTTGGTTACCTTCTATGACCTCTCAGAGCAGACCAGGGGCAGTCCAGTTTCTGTATACCATCTGCTGAAAACTCCTGTCCTTAAGCTCCAGCAGCTTTTGTACCTAGACTGCTTTAGCTATATAGTTCCTGGTGATTTGTGGTGGTTTATGCTATTTAACTATATATGGGAAGAGAAGTAGCTGTACGGTGACAAGGCACTTCTATGTGGATACTCCTGACACTGAAGGGCTTGGACTAATATTCTTTTGTTTAAACTTCAAGCTCCCAAATGGCAGAGCTTCCTGGCACAGAAACAATCATTAGTCTGAATCCAAGTGATCTGTTCATGTATGTAAACATGTACAGGTGCAGCCTGCTTTCTTATGTACACCTGCAACTTGGGATGCCAAAGGGAACATGTGGTTCTTAACAGAAAAAAAGTCCTTAAAACCGTCATCCGCACAAAGGGCTTTATTTAATTGCTGGAGATTCGAGTGAGTTCAGACTCTTGGGTTTTGGTTCATTCTCTGGAACAGCACTGGGGTTTGTCTTTATTTTTGTTTCAGAACTGCAAAGCAGATGGATTTCAAACTATAGAAATTGTTCATGGTAGATGTTTAATGAAAATCCCTGACTGAAACATGATTCTTATTAAGGAAAAAGAAAAAACTTGCCGAATATTTTTCTTTCCAGTTGTGGGAGAAAAGTAAGTGAAAGGGATTGGTTTGCTCGAAGTATGTTTTAAATTCCACATTGCAGTCTGGTATCAATGCACACACTGAGGTTGATCAGTTTGTGCTGATCCAACACAAATTGATGTTAGGAATTACTTCTGAGAATTATACAGCCTTTGCCTCTTTAAAAAATGCCTACATTGGTGTATTCAGCCCAAAATAGCAACCTGCTGGGCCTGGGCTAGGACAAAGGGAGAAGTAAAAGGAGGAAATGCCTTGTTTGGGGAATGAACTGTGAAGCTGAACAAAAGACAAGCTTGAGCATTTCCTTCTAGTGGGATTCTAGGCTGGCTGGAGCACAGGAGCCAGTGCCCGGAGCGGAGGGAGAGGAGAGCCAGGCGGATGTCTCCCTCCCACAGGTGCTGGAGGCCCTGCTTTGTAGGGGAAATAACAACCAGGCAGGCAGGGCAAGGAGCTGGAGACCTTTCACAGGGCTGTGAATCATGGCAGATTGAGAAAGCTGCATCATGATAGCTGAGCTTCGTATCCACAGTTCTGAACTGTGGCTTAGAAAACAGAGCGAAGGAAGATGCAGAGCGGCTGCAGGCACTGCTATGTGTGTGTGAGCTGGCGCTGCTCCCCGAGGACTCCTGGCCTGCTCCTGTGGCAGGAACCATGCAGCTCTGGGGCTCCAGTTCTCCACCACCAGTAAGCGGGCATTTCTCAGATTCCACCACAGATTTCCTTAAACTTTGCAATCTCTGTTTGTGATGGTGTGTTGTGTACATACGGGCACAGAAAATTTGTGAGACTATAAAGCTGAAGCAAAGCTAGACACTTCTCTCCTCCAGATCCATCTCTTTCTCTCTGCCTCGGGTTATTGGTCAGTGTGAAATTTTCTCCACCGGCCAGTGAATATTTTCTACCTTGGTAGCCAAAAGCTCTATAATAACACGTAGGCTAGACAATGCCATAGCATGCTGTTATAAAGGAGGTCATCTTGAAGAAATCTGCAATGTGGTGTAGATTGTATTTTGCCACTTAAAGGAAAGTGCTGTTGCTGTATAGCACAACGAGAAGGAGAAGACAAGGGAGATACAAATAGGCTGTGCTCACTCTGCCTGTGTGACCCAGGTCAGGGCCCACACACATAGTGATGAAACAGTAATTTCTATTTTTTTTTTTTTTGCCTCAAAGTACTTTGTCTATCCAGACCAAACCAGATTCCAGTATGGAGGGTCACAATGTCAGCCCCATATGTATTGCAGATATGCACAGCCTTAGAGACAGATGGACTTGTAATGAACCCTTTGGCTGTGACCTGTTTGTTTTTTCTTCCCATTGTTTCTGTTACTGTCACAACACTCTGGTAAGTTGAGCTAATCATTCAGAAAGCCAGGCCAAGACAGTTCTTCTCTAGTGTTTCCCTGAAGAATCTCATTGCATTTGGCCAGTTCTTTATGCTTCTTCATATTAGTCTGTGCAAATACCTGACAATCACAGAATACAAGATGTGTGAGCCAAACCCACTAGCTTATTTTACCATACAGCTCAAAGAAAACAGTTACTGACTGTATTTTTTGTTTTTCTTCAGTCCTGTACCTGGAAGGATCAGTCCTTGTATTTGAGGATGTCTTCAAACTGGTTGCCTTCTACTGTGTCAGTAGGTGAGTTGGATTCATTGCTTCCATGGAAGGGTCACTTTGCTCTCCCCTCTGGACTGCCTTTCCCCAGTATCCAGTCACAGCACAGCTGCCAATGTTTCCTCCGGTTTCCTCTAACCTGCCAGACCAGGAGGTATTTCAGATGCTATTATCTACAATAGGGCCAGATCACCCAGTTTCTAGCCAGGCACACCATAACTACAGCTGTCCCTGAAGCTGGAAGCTTTGTCTGAGGAAGGTCCACAGGGCTGCACCCACAAAGGACCAATGCACAGGACTGGGACTAGGAGCGCAGGGAGAAAAAAGGGTCCTGGATTAACCATCTCTTATTGAAAGCAGCTTTAAGCATATAGACACACCTGGCAGCAACTTAGCAAACCTGCTAGCAGACTGTTGCCTGCAGGAGACTCAGAGCACTTAGTCACCTATAGGCAATCCGTCAAGGAGAGTAGTCCTGAAACAATTTCTGTTCTTTAGCCAAAATATTTTAATGAAATAGAGTGATAAAGTAGAGACTTTGTTTGTTTGCTCAGTGCAGCAATACCAAACATAGTGGGCACAGAGATGGGAAAGACCTGTAAGGTCATTTTCATTAGAGCAAGGTTTGATCAGCAGCTGATGAGTCCCTGTGTGTAATTAAACCCATGTGTCTGCAGTCTCCTCTAATCTGTGTGTTTGTGCCGAGCACACTGCAGCGATACCTCCACAACCTGCTTGCTGCAGCAGGCCTGGTTTTCAATTGGATGTAAACTTTTGACCTCTCCTGTATAAATTCAGATGACTCTTAAAGTAGTTATTTCCATTTAAGAGACAAAAGCAGATTCAGGATATGTTCACAAGGCAGTCACCTTAGTGACTTGGTTAGGTCACATAGTAGGAACAGTCTATCTATGGTATGATACAGCGTGCTGCAGCTTACCCAGCCTGTAATACTCATGCTATTTTGAGGGCTGCTTCTGCAGCCAGCTGAGTTCAATGCTGCTGGGCCAGGACTCCTGCCTGCATGCAAAGGACCATGCTCTGTCTCACCCCCATCAATGAAAAGACATTTAGCCATCTAGATGTGTATAGACCCTATAGAATGGGCATAAATTAACCCGTGTCCTGATTTTTTAGATTTACTTTTCTACCAAAAAAAAAAGGGAACTACTCACACATACGAAAATAACAAGCAAAGAAAGCGGAAGGTCCATGCATCCTCTTCCTTTTTTAAACCTGGTATCCGCCACGAAAAAAAAAATCTTGGGAGCACATCAGTTTATGTCGAACAAGGTGAAAACAGAGCGTTCAGTGGAGCACAGAGAACACATGGAGGACACAGTACTTCAGGAAGATATGTATTTGTTAATAAGGGCAAAAATAGCCCCCCTGCATTCATCTGTCAACAGATCGGTCCTCCCCAGGTCTGCAGTCACGTGCATTTTTGGGGTGTGTGTTTGTGTAGCAGAGACCACCTACTCACAGGGCCAGCTTTTTCTAAAATAATTTCCTGCAGCTTGCAGAACATTTTGTTAAACTTTTTAATGCGTAAAATGATCCTGTGCCATTCCTTGCTACCTTTTAGGAACTATTGTTACAAGCTTTTCTAGTCCTTGTTAGAACGGGAATTGAGGTAGGAACAGGTTTAGCCAATTGTCATTGGGCAAGAGGCAAACTGAACAGTTCACCACCTGCCCAAGAGCTCTGTTAAATTATTTGAGACTTAACAGTGCATTTCAGTGAAACCCAACTAATGTCCTCTGAGAAACTGTATCTTTTTTCTGGTAAAAATACAACATTTTTGCAGAAACCAAGCAGTCGGAAGACTGAAAGCGGAGAGTGGAGGAATATATGTGTTTTCTCAATGTCATGTAGCACTTCATCATTGTCTGTCACTTCACCCAGGGGCTACCCTTGCCCAGGAGGGGTCTTCCTTCCCTATCCCCACTGTGTCTTGCCGTGTCCCAGTGCCTTACACTTGCACCAATTTTTAAAAGAGGAAGCAGGATGGGGAGGGAGGAGTAACAGAAAGAAGAAGGACTGCAAATCAGCTCCTCACCAAAAAGAATGGCTTTTCTAGTTACAATAATTACCATTTGCAACATTTCACTTTTCATGGGAAGGTATTTCAACCCTTGTGGCCTTCCCTGAGGTGAGAGGAATTCCTGCT